ATGTGAACGTTCACATTTAAAATGTAATGTGAACGTTCACATTTAAAATGTAATGTGAACGTTCACACAAAAAGATCGGATTTTTTTCAAAAAATCAGAACTGAGCATTAAGACCTGCAGCGTGAACGTAGCCAAAGATTTAGGTAAAAAACCTGACAAGACACATTCAGTATCCTGTCTGTGTTCCAGATTCTGAGACGTCAGAATTCTGACTGTTTTTCAAATTTCTAATTAAACTCAGAACTCACTTTAACCTAAAACATTTAAGGAAAAAAAGCCATAATTCTGAGATTAAAGTCCATTCTCATTCTATTCTTGAAATTCTAAGGAAACACCAGAATTTTCACTTTTCTTCCAGATTTAGACGTTAAAAGGTTATTTATTTTAGAAATCTGACAAAAAAAGCCCAAATTCTGAGATTTTGGTGAAAAATCTGAAATTAAAGTGAAAATTCTCATTTTGATTCTGAATTCTGACTTTTCAAACCATTAAATTATTTCGTGTACCTCTCTTCCTGGTGTCGTTCTTCGTATCAGTTGCATCCTTTTTCCTTCTTTTGTGCTCAGTTGGTCATTTCTTCTTCGCTGGTTGATTTTCACACACACCGTCAGCGGAAATGAAAATACTCCTAAGAGCAACGAAGTGGGACAAAAAGAAGTCTAACTGAAATGCAATGAAAATATGGTCAACAAATACAAACAATGATAAATGTTTGAGTGAATTTTCCACCAGTGACACCGTGTGACTAACTAATGTTCAGGATAATTAACGGAGCCAGCAGGAGATGACATGTCGGACTGAAAATAAGAAAAACATGTAATTATGAACATGAATATTGTAGTGGCGGTCTTTTAAATCGTTCAGAAGAAAGGCTTAGTCTCATGCTGTGCAAACAGTTATCAGGTCATTTGATAAATACTGTTTAGTGTTTTAGTTGTGACATAAAAACACCAATTTAACTGTAAAGAAAATTGAATTATGTTTATGTCCTTCAGGTAAAACAGTTACTGGTAATATTTTACCAGTTGTAGGTGGGGCTTTGAATGACCTCAGTTTAATTCAGACCAGTAGTAGACCACAACTCTTCCTGCTTTCTATTGTTGAAAACTGAAGCTATAGGATTCGTTTTTATAGAAGCTGCCAGGTTGCTTTTCTGGAAACACACCTGTGTTGTTCCATGGGTAACTAGAAGCACTCGAAGAGCACAAACCTCCGCCAAGGACAGTTTCCCCTGTTCTGCCACAGTGAAGAATCCTTCAAAAAAAAAAAATCCTGGATCCGGATCATCACCAAAATGTAACGGTGTGTTCCTTTGGCCAATTACCATCTGTGGTAAAAATTACATGAAAATCAGTCCACGAGTTTTTGAGTTATTTTGTTCACAGACAGACAGACGTGACCGAAAACATAACCTCCTTGGCGGAGGTAAATAAATATATATACTGTATATGTGTGTGTGTTTGGATTGTATCTGATTTATTAGCGGTATAATATGTGTGTTTGTGTACAAGTGCTTTACAATGACAAAAAACGTACAATTACACAACACAAGGACTGGAACAGCATCAGAACAAAGAAAACATTTTACCTTAAAAGAAAAAACAAAATAAACATGATTTTTAAAGAAAATCTTAGTGTCATCTATCGCAGTGTTTCCCAAAGTTGGGGTCGGGACCCAAAGTGGGGTCCCGAAACATCAAGGTGGGGTCCTGGAAAGATTTTCTGAATTATTTACATTTTGGCTTATTTGTTACAAAAGAGTGAGGTTAGTATATTTAAAATGGATAAATGTAGTATAAAACTATTGTTACTATGCCCATGTTTAGTTGACCTGATACAAATGTTTATCATCCATAAACAGTTGGGGGCTCAGGTCTCTGCTACTGTTATTTTGTGGGTCAAAAGCTGAAAAGTTTGGGAACCACTGCACTTTGGTTCCCAAAGTTGGGCTTGAGACCCAATTATGGGTCATGAAGCACCTTAGATAATCTCCAGAAATCAATTTAAAGGGTAATAAAATAATTGCTGATGTAATATTTTCCCTATAATTATTACAAAAACACAAAATAAGTAAAAACAAGTATTTATATTTGTGTACACGCTGTTTAGATTGTCAAAAAGCCTGTGTTTTTAGGATTATTAACATCGTTTATGTACTCAGACCAGTAATATTTGGGGTCACAAGTTTTTGCCCTGGATATTTTGTGGGTCAGAAGACAAAAAGTTTGGGAACCACTGATCTATCAGATAACAGAGTTAGCTAGCTTACCTTTCCAATACGGGGGGGAATCCAAAAACGGAAACACAAAATACAAAATTGTTAGGACGCACAGCCCGATGTATCATGAAATTGATGTTTTGTTACATTAAAGTCAGTTAAAACTTTTTGGATGAAAAAAATTATTGGGTCTAAAGTTTTATTTCCATGTGCCTTCGTGATTGGTCTTCTCCACCGCTTCAGGCAATCCCATTGGATGTCTACAGTCGGGGGGTTGACCCGTCTACAAATGGTCCAATGTGATTGGAAGTCTAGGGTCAGCTTCCTTGAAGCTGATTGGCTGTCTACGGACTCTACAGTTCTACGGTGGATTATTTCCCCATCATAAAAAAATTCCTGGATCAGGATCGTGATCCGGATCATCACCAAAACGTAACTGTGTGTTCCTTTGGCCAATATCCACCTGTGGTAAAAACGTCATGAAAATCAGTCCATGAGTTTTTGAGTTATTTTGTCCACACATACATTCAGTTTTAAATCATTAAATTCAGTTTCAATTTATTAAAATCCATTTTCAAACCAATGCATTCGATTTCAAATTCTGCACATTCAGATTCAATCTGAACAATTCAGATTCAGTTCCTGCTGACACCAGGTTTTTCCCGTAAAACACAGGCACCTGGGAACAGGTACTGAGAAGCACAGGGATGAGCCCACATATCCAAACCTTATCGGATCTTAAACAGACTTTCAGTTTGCTGGTGGGAGCGAGGTAAAAGCAGCCGTTTGATCCTGCCGTGCTCTCCGGTGTTTTTATCCCCCAGGAGGGTTGGGCTTTGTAAGAGGATCCAAAGAGCTAACAGTGTCTGTGATACGGACTCTGCACGACTTCAAATCACGCCTGGCGTGACTTTGTGCCAAAAAAGACACAAAGCTTTGATATCAGAGCGAACTACCCATCAGATGCCGCTGACTGTGAAGCCTTTTCTCTGAAGGAATGTGTTCCTAATCCAATTCCTCAGGAGCGTCTTCGCTGTA